TTTTTTTTTTTTTTTTTTTTTTCTTCAGATAAAAAATAGTTTGATACAAATCATTGAATTTGAGTCAAGGGAAAGCATTGAAAAGCCAGAATCTTAATGAATTTATTTTAAACAATAAATTTCACTGCCCTCAAAATTTTATCTCGTAAATTTTTAATTCTAAAACACATTAATATAATTGGTCTAACATTAAATTTCTCCGTTTTAATAACCGAGGAGGAGGAAGAATTTTACAAGCACCAATTAGAGAACAAATGTATTTAGTATGAAAATTTTCCAGGTTGGCCTTTTAGTATTCACTCAGCTACTTTTAACTACAAACATGCTACTGTGTAAAACTTGTTACGATATCTGTTTCGTTTATAGTGAATTTTAAATGATGATATGGATTAGCTATGAAGTGATATTTTATTTTTCATTGGTTTGAATAAAGACCTATTTTTAATCATCTACCATTAGAACTTAATTAGCAAGTTACTGTCATGTTATATTGTTTTTGTTTTATTTACAAATAAGTTTATATTTGAAGGTGAGCTTTTATCAACTGAATTATATAACTTCAGTGATTATTCTTTTATTTAATAATTTTTTTTATGCCTGCATTCTTCAAAGAAAAATAGTTTATCAAAAGATAAAAATAAGAAAACAGTTCTGAGATATCTAATTCCATCGTTGCTTTTCTTCCAATTTGGATGATCTACTCTTGAAGTGAAGCCAAATAGATAATACATCATTTGTATCAATATTATTTTAAAATAAAGAATCTCCTAAATTTTCCCAAAGAAAATTATTTGATCCTCAACTTTCTATGGCCAAATGGATTTAAAGTTTGAGGCTCAAAGTTCAGTTCCGAGTGACTTCTCATATTTACAGTTGATAAATCTAAATTCACTTTCATGGGAATCTAGCTGCAAATACCAAAGACTATTACACTTCTAGGCTGTCATTTATAAGACTAAAGATTTTTCAAAATGTGCAAAAGAAGGCTTAAATTGTGGAAGAAAGTTATTTCAATCAAACCATATAATAACTATGTAAGTGTATTTATTTATATATTTCCTGTCTCATTTGATAAAGGGAAATAACAGTATTTATTTTTTTTTTTAAAACATTAGATAATGTAAAGAATTTCATCAGTCATATCAAACCATATAATTACCAATGTGTATTTATTTATATATTTTCTGTCCCATCTGAGGGCCTTATATAACAGACTGAAATATGAGCAGTAATAATAAGCATTTATTTACAGGGCCATATGAGAGACAAGTGTTTTTAGGGGCTCCCCCAAAAATTTAGAATTTAGCTTTAAGTTATCAAAGGCCACTAACATGGTTAATGGCAAGAACATTTAAAATTTCCAGTACCTCCAGATTGGCGGAAATCATCTTTGAAATAATAGAGAACTGTCTGTGTTAGAACTTTTCATCTTTTTTTGAATGTCTACAGGGAAAATATAGATTCATTGATGAAGGAAAAAAATTATTTTCTATTTGTACAGTTTTATTTTATTTTATTTTATTTTTTTAGTTTATTGGACTCGCCACAATTCCAAATTAAAATGAAAATGCACCTATGCAATACCATCATCGTACACCTTTTAAAGAAAAATTCTTTCATTAGGATTTTATGAGAGTTATATCTTTCCTTGCTTTTATATTTTTTTTTATTTCTTGTATTTCTTTCTTTATTGTATTTTGTTAAAATAGAACCCTGTAAAAAAAAAAAAAAAAATACTACAATTGGTAAAAAATTTTGGCAGACACAAGGCCAAACATCTAGTGGTAGAATTACATATCTTTTTTTCGGGATCCTTTCTTATTTTATTTCACATAGTGGAAATTATGTGTGGATCCTACTTCATTTTTTGTAGGTTTTGCCACAAATTATTTAACCACTGGACCATCAATATCCAGTGTTTTTCGGTCGGGGTTAGTCTTGTCATCATTTTCCTCTTTTTATTTGACATATAAATATATAGAGAGAAAAAGAGTGAAAGATAGAAAAAGAGATAAGGATTTTAAAGGAAAGCAAATGCTTTGTTTTAATTTGAATTCTTTTATATTTGTTTGTACATTTTTATATTTTACTTTATTTTATTGGACTCCCCATAATTCCAAATTAAAATGAAAAAGGCAGTTATGCAATAACCAGTTACCATCATTGTACACCTTTTAAAGAAGAATTCTTTCATTGGGGTTTTATGAAAGTTATATTCTTCCTTGCTTTGATAGTTTTTTTTTAATTTCTTTCTTTATTGTATTTTGTTAAAATAAAACCCTGTAAAAAAAAAAAAAAAAAAAAATACTAACATTGGTAAAAATTTTGGGGATTCTCTGGCTCTGATTTACAAATAACAATTTCAAACAAATATATATCCCTGGGTTTTTAATTAATGTCACCACAGAAATTGTCTCAGTCACTATATATTTTATCTGAATATGTAAATTATAGTATCCTAGATTAAACACACTTTCATCCTCTAAATATATAACTGAATAACTTTTAAGAGATAAATTTAGTATTAATATTGTAGGTGTAATTTCAAGTTCTCATATTATTTAAATACATTTTAGTTTTGCATTGGTATCCAAGATTCAACATAAACTTGCTCTATAAATGTAGAATTAAATTTAAATAATTCCCTATGTTCTACATTGTTTTGTGCATTTAAGAAAATTTTGTCCAGTGACCATCACAAAAGACCTGTGAGAGTGTGGCACAAAGAAGTCCAAATGAAAGAGAGGAGGAAGCTAATGCAAGAAGAGCTGCTATGAGAGAACATGTAGCTGAAAGGATTCAAAATGAAATGGCCGAAGAATTTAAGGCAAGAAGAGAAAATATGAAAATGCAAATGGAAGAATGTTTTTCGCAAGAAACTGAAGAGCAAGGCAACAGGGGTAGGAATGAGAATCCTGGCACCATGAGAAATGCAAGAAATGCACAAAACAGAGTTCTCAGAGTAAATGACTTTCTGTTCACTGAAATCAATTATCAACAACATAAATGTGGCAGATAAAAAATAAACTGCCATTTTTTATGTCATGGCTACACTAAATTTATTTACAATATGATGAAAAGTCTTTGAGTTGCATAATTTAATCTTACAACACCAAATAGGTTACTGGAAATATTTCTAAGAAAAAATATATTATCTGAATTTTACATAGTATATTTATTATATATAGTTATATGGAAATTCTACCAGCAATGGTTGGTTAATATCAGTTTTATTTTGAAAATAAAATTTAGAATTTACTATACTATTCAGTTAAAATAAAAATGGGAACTTTTATGCTTTTAGAAAATATATGTAGGCCTTTGTATTTCTTAGAGCTTTTGTACATTTTTCCTACTAAAAGAAATGTAGTACATATAGAATCTTACCTGTGAATACAGTTAATTAAAATATAACTAAGTATGTGCAGAGTTTCCTGCTTTAAAGATAAACTCTGTATTCAGTGTCTTTTAAAAATGATATTGTGAATCTCTGTACATAATAAAATGGCATTGAAAAGCAACAAACCAATTTGAGCTATTAAAGAAATCTGAACAGATGCTTATTCTTAGAACCTTATTAGCCTGTGATAAAGATTTACTGTTTAACTTTTAAGAATAGTATAAAACTGAGTATTACTTGATTGTACTTTATATTAGAAATTGGTATTTTCTTAGTTCCAACCCTGTTAGGGAATGACTGCAAAATCCTCCTCCTCCCCAAATGTATAGACAAAAAATATAGATGCATGCTGGGATTTTTTCCTAGCCAAGATTGGCCACTTTTTGATCTCCTCTAATTTAGTTATCACTTGTCTGTATCCCCTTTTGTGTGTTAACATGATTCTTAGTTTGTGAACTTTTTGCCTTATTACTGTTGCTTTGCCTTGCATATATTGTTTGTTTGCTTGATATTATTTTTTGTCTTGTTCTTTCTCTTATTATTGTTTATTGCAAACTTTATCAATTTTGTTTGTTGGATGTTTATACCAATTATATTTAATCATAGCCAATTACCTTACAGGCATTGATATTTAGGATTTATATGAATGAATTGACCTTGGCTAAGATGCTCAGACTTTAATCAACAATTCATATAGTAACATGCTTTCATCTTCATTCACTCTAACATATAGTCTGGGAATTTTAAGCAGTGTTTTCAAACACAAACAGTGCACAACTTGATATTTTCACTGTTATTAAGTTTATGAGGATTGTTCTAGCTACTTCAGCCATTAAGATTTCTTTATTATGGATTTATGAAAGTCTTTCTGAGCTTATCTCAATCGGTATCACACAACCGACATTCAAATTTTGAGGTTTTCACTTACAAATTTTTATGAGTATTTTTTTTTTCAGTACTGCTATATTTTTTTTTTTTTTTTCTATTTAGAAGCTTTTATGTTTGTGTTTATAAAGATTGCAATTTTTGTGATATAGTTCTGTTTTTTATCATAGTTATACGACTGTTGATCTGCCAGGTGAATTAAAGCTGCTTGCGTTATTGACTTTCTCTGTTTTAAGCTCGCATTGTGAAGTGAACTTAGAAAAATTAGCTTTAATTAGTTACACCGTGTATTGTTTTAAAAGAAGGAATCCACTGTTGGACAGCATATAAAGCATTGGTTGAAAAGGAATAATAATCATGTAGTTTATCCTTAATTATATTAATTTTTGCTGTAACCATCTTAAAGTAATGTATTTTTTAATTTCTGGACATTTATTGCTGACTTAATTAAATTTATGTAGCATGACTACAACTGTGTTTCTTATACATTTCATATTTTTCTGAAGAAATCAGTTTATATTAAATTCCTAGTTTATTTGTGGAGAATTTAAACACTTAAATTACTATCAAACATTAAAAAAAAAAGATTTAAAATATATAAACCTGTGTTTTTCCAGATTGGCCAATATATGCCAACATACATTAATTTCCCTCTCCAAATTTATATCCCCCCTCTCTTTCCTTCAAAACCCTAAGTCCATCTCTTATTTCTTAGATCTTTACTTTTCCCCTTTTTTCTCTTTTCTCTCTCTTTTCTTTTTTCTCTCTCTCTTTTTCTTTTCTTTCTTTTCTCTCTCTTTCTTTTCTCTCTCTTTCTTTTCTCTCTCTTTCTTTTCTCTCTCTTTCTTTTCTCTCTCTTTCTTTTCTCTCTCTTTCTTTTCTCTCTCTTCTCTCTCTTTCTTTTCTCTCTTTTCTCTCTCTTTCTCTTCTCTCTCTTTCTTTTTCTTTTCTCTTCTCTCTCTTTCTTTTTTTCTCTTCTCTCTCTTTCTTTTTCTTTTCTCTTTCTTTTCTCTCTTTTCTCTCTCTTTCTTTTCTCTCTCTTTCTCTTCTCTCTTTTCTCTCTCTTTCTTTCTCTCTTTTCTCTTCTCTTTTTTCTCTCTCTTTCTTTTCTCTCTTTCTCTCTCTTTCTTTCTCTCTTTTTTCTCTCTCTCTTTTCTCTCTCTCTCTTTTCTCTCTCTCTCTTTTCTCTCTCTCTTTTCTCTCTCTCTCTTTTCTCTCTCTCTCTTTTCTCTCTCTCTTTTCTCTCTCTCTCTTTTCTCTCTCTCTCTTTTCTCTCTCTCTCTTTTCTCTCTCTCTCTTTTCTCTCTCTCAGTTGACCTATTAAATAGGTAAATATCTGATCCTTACCCCCCTCCTCAATATTAAGCATTGTAATAAAAATAAATTTAAAAGTATTCCTATCTCTCCCTTCCCTTTCTAATTTCCACCATATCTTTCACATTATCTCTCATCACTCTCTATATCACCTTACATAAGCTTAATACTGCCCTTCAAAAGTGTAAATTTAAATTCATTTTTTCATCCTTGGAAGTGAGTTCTGATGATCCAGAGAAAAAGAAAATCCCTGGTGAAATAAATTATAACAATGGAACCTTAAAGTGGTTTGTTTTTCTTTAAATTAATTAGGATTATCCATATGGATTACCAAGATTTTCATTACTTATATATATAACAGGAAGGAAAGCCTTTATAAATTTAGCATGTTTCATTCGGGTATTCATGACCTTATAAAGATATTTCAAATATTAATAAAATTCTTGCCAATATATTGATAATAAAAATCTTTTGATTGAAACTAACCATTAAAATGTTTTATCATTTTCAGCATTTCAGAAAGATAAGAAAAATTTATCTTTGTTCTTGATTATTTTTTTATCAAAAATTCTTATAGTTTTATATTCATATTTCATGTTTTCACCGGTTGTTTAATAGTGTTTCAAACAAAAATCAGAATATGGATTATTTGTTACTAGTTGGGTATAAAATCAGTGAGAAGTTTGCTTATTGATTTTGGCAAAAGTTATATTGATGAAAGCTAGATAAAGAGGGTTTTTGCAGGTAATACAGTAGATATCACTTGGCAGTTGCCCTCATAACTCAATTTTTCCTATGATTTTTGGCTGTTACTTATATGATCAACTAGCAAGGTTACCTTGCATCACCCAAAGTAAAACAGCATTTAATAATAATATCCTATTTAGTTATTATTCAAATTTAATTTTTTAGCTGTATATATAATGAATACAAAAGAGACTGCCATTGGAATAACCCATTAATTTCCTTAGTAACACATATAAATAAAACACGCCTTAGCTTTTATTTAAAAAATGCTACCTTAGTAAAAAAATTAATGAACATAACTTGGAGAAAATACCTAGAAGGAAAATTAATAAATAACTAACACACAATGCACTTTTTCATATCATCAATATTCGTAAAATCCAAACATTTACAGATGATAGAACATGTTCACTTCCAGCATTTGCCATATTTATCATGCAATTAAAACACAATAATATACCCAATATTTTGATACCCAAATTAATACATGTATATTAATACCATAAAATGAACATGTGATGTCTGCATGACCAATGGAAACAAAACATAGAATTTAAAAATCAAAACAACTCTGCATTGTTCTACTTTCAAAATTCCTGCTGAAGCTAAATAAATAGCAAAACATTAAACTTATAAAAATTTTTAATCATTCTGTTGAATTTAATCCAAATCTTCAGCTTTTGTAATGAATTATAGAAAATGGATAAATAAACAAATCTATTTTATCTGAGATAATAAACAGATTATGGGATACAATCTGATGAGAATAAATTAGATGTGATTACCTAAGTTCTCATAACCTTAACAGTTATAAGCATTTACTACCTTGATTTTTGCATTAAAATGATTTCTAAAAACTATGAACTAAGTATTTGCAACACTGGATATTTTTCTTTAAATTATGTTTTAGGTATTTCAAAACAGTGTCCTTTAGATTGGGAATTTTAATTATTGTTGGTTTTCAAAAGTTTCATATTCCACATTTTTTATTATTTCATGTTCCACATACTAGAGTAATGTTTCAGACTTCATGAATTTCTTTGATCTTTTAGCTATATTAAATATAATCAATGCAATGAAAAGTCTTTGATTACACTTACAAGGTTTTCAATCTTAAGAAAAATGAATATAAAATAACTTTAATGACGATTGCATAACTCTGTATCTGTTAGGATAGCTGGTTAGAAGCATGATGGTGACACTCATTACCAAAGATAAATAGGAGATGCAAAATTGTATAAGACAAAATGTTAATAGATAGTATTTTAGTTGTAAAATCCATGAAATTTCCAGATCAACTGCAGAAATCAAATGAATCTGTAATTTATTCTTGAGCCTACAACAGTTGCTAAATGAGATTGACTGAACAAACAAAAAAACTGCAATTGATAAAATCTAGAAAATATTAAACCTGACTTCATATAACATTGATTTATGAGTAATGTTTTCTTTTTGATTTGACTGTTTTATTATTTTTCCATATAATTTGAAGCAAAGGATGTTTACTGCATTTTGTAAACCAGTTTCAAGAACTTGAATTAAAAAGAATGAAGGATTAAGTAAAACCTTTCAATAACTGATTTGGTTCTCATATGACTTAATGCTGGAATCCAAATCATTTTCACTCCTGCTGGAGAAATATGTTCCTGGTTGACCATGTAGCTGTACACACCACATTTGGCCAATTTTGTGCTGTTAGGATTCCACTTATTATACTTAGGGCTTGGTGACAGAACTGGTTTAGTTGCCAACCACTCAACCACTTAGGTCTTGAATTCAAAGTTGTCCTTCTGCTAGAACTGGTTGTCTCCAAAGGCTATAGGACCCAGTTTGTTGTGCTATTTACCTACAACTTGGAGGAGAAGAGATATTTGCACTTAAGTGAATGTAATGAACTCAACTGGAATTTGAACTTGACTCTCTGATTCCTTAATCCGAGATGCTATCCATAAGTGGTTTTAGGCAGTTCCTTCTAGTAGTATAAAAAATGTGTGTTCATTCTGTCTGTTCTCATCATTCCTTCTGCAGGTACATCAGTTAGGCATAAGTGGGTTGTGTAATGGTTATCAGTGTGGCAAATGGAATAGATAAGTTCAAATTCTCTCCATTTCTGTTGTGTCTACCTTTGCACCATTGCTCTGGGGAGAGGCATATTCATCTCTTCTCTCAGCTATTGGTTAAATAGCAAGGAATGCTGGGCTCTATAGCCTTGGCCAGTCTAGGAGACAATAATGATAAAGTGGATAAAAGTGTTGGTTTGTGAATTTGGTGACCTAATAATTGTGTGATGTGCTCTGTGGTGTAATGGATACCGGCTTGGAGTAAGAACTCAGAGAGCTGAGTTTGAATTCCAGTTGAGTTCATTATATTCACTTATGCACAAATATGCTTGGGAAACGTATGAATCCATCTCTTTTCCAGCTATGGATTGAATAGCAGGACAGATTGGGTTCTTTAGCCATGGTTGGCAACCAGTCTACCACAGAAAGAAATGGCAACCTACTGTGGAAAAATCAGTCATGTATCAAAAGATACATGATTGCTGAAGCATGTATCACATGTGGCACTTAACTGACTGAGTAATTGTGAGTTCAATCTCTAGGTAGGGCATTGTATACTTGCATTTAGTGGAAACAGATGAGCAATAACTGAAGTGTAAAAAGTGTAAAAGTAAGAACTAGACATCTGTACACATGAACAGTTGAATGAGAACAGTCTAAATGCCCCCCCCTTAAATAGTTCAGTTCAGAATTCCCTTTAGGTTTTCCACATCAGTATCATGAGGAAGGCTGGAGAGCACAATGGCCAAAACATTGTCATAACAACAACAACAAAGATGGGGACAATAGTCTGAATATAAATATTGTAAATAATAACTTCTCATCCCAGAAACTTGGACATAAACTAATTTTATAATTATCACTTTACATGCTTTTAAGAATTACTGTGTAAGCATTTGTATATGTTAAGGGCAATGAGAATTATTTAGTATTGCAGAATGTGAAGAAACATTGTCTTGCATCTGTTTATGTCTATAGTTAACATTTATCTTCCCCTCCTATCTTCATAAACTGTGTCTTACTCTGTGACCGTCTACCTCAAGTAGCCCATAGGCCTTGTATACGGTGAACCTAACTGTAAAAATAAAAATGATGTCTTAGATTTATGGTTGTGACCTGTGCCACTCAAAAAACATCTTGTCCAAAAAAATTTTGTCAAAAAGAATTTACTAATTATCAGCATTTATCTTGGTGCCATCAACTTTTGCAAACCTATAATTTTACTGTTTACCACAGTAGTTCAAAACATTACTTTACAACTTGTTTTCTACTAAGTGATGTTGGATGACTATTTCCATGATTTTGTTGCTTTAATATATTTAAGCCAATGTTTTTAATATTACATCTTTTCCGTTTACATTTGTAACAGCAACAACTTCAAATATTTTCTTGTCTGTCACTCTGCTTTTCTTGCTTATTACCCTTTTAATTATTAGCAAATTTCTTTTTGTGATATTCAATTTTCTTTTGTTCTTTTCAATGTTTTTGCTATTCTCAACAATGTGTTCCCTTCAATAACTTTTCACTATCATATTTCTCTTTTATATGTACCATATTAATCGTTTTTTTATATGAAATTAACCATTAAATATAACTAAGGTATTATTTACAATATGATGAACAGTCCTTGGTCTGCATAATCAAATCTCACACCTTCAAATAAGTTATTGTAAATATTTCTTATAAAAAATAGTCATGAGAAATTTACATGGTATATTTATCATATAAGTATACCCTGAAAATTTTACTAACATCAATTGGTTAATACTGAATTTATTGTGAAAACATGCCTTGCCTAATAAAATCTGACAGTATAAACCCTTATGGAATATTTTGTTTATTTGAGGCATCTTCAACAGAATAGCAAGCCTACTTTGCAATCATCCAACTTGTCAGCAAGAAATAAATCAATGAGATGTAATTGCATATTCAAAGACCAAATGATAATTCTTCCCTGCTAACAATCACCATATATCCCTTTAAACTGCTGCTACAATGGACAAAACATAATTGCAGTTGACATTATGCATCATTTATTTTTCATGATAGGCTCCATTCTGGATTACTTATTTGACATGCTGTCTAACTTGGGACTATTGGCCATTGTAGTAGTTAGCAATTTGTGATATTTAGGTAGATACAAACATGTAAAAATGCATCACTGTTTTGCTAATTTTACCCCTCTTTTAAAAGTATGTAAGAAATTGTTTTATTAGTTTCGTAAATAGAAATGTTTTATGGTTCCTTCCTATCCATTTATGTTAATGTAAAACTAAAGATCATCATATATTATTGGAAAGTTGTTTTGTCGTAATTCAATAATTCAAAAAAAAAAAAAAAAAAGAGAGAATTTTTGTTTGGATTATTTTCTTATTCAACTGAATTCTGAAGATAAATCTAGATGAAATAATTTATTACCATTTGAAGAATACTAGTAACAATATAAACTTATGTTTTTCTTCAGTTTTACCAAAAGGTTAGTCTTGTTCACTGCAAAGAAAAGCAAATTTATTTTCAGTATTAATGTCATCCATAGAACTGAAGTGGTATAAGATTACATTTCTTATATATTTTTTGTGTGTTTGCTTTTAGGGGAAAATAGCTTACTGTATTTTGCTGCTTATAAGACACACATTCATTTGATATTAATAAGAACATCCTAGGCACAAAGGTTCTATGTTGATATTGATAGTACAAGAAAAAATACAATGCATGTATCTGTAAAAAAAAAAAAAAATTCTCATATTCCTGTTATTTAATTCTCGGTCACTTTGGAGTTCAGTCCTGAAAGTTTATCAAATTGTTGATAATATACTTCTCCCATTCCAACCCTGGTTAAAAAAATTGACCTTCTCTAACCCTTGCAGACTGTCAGTCATATATTTTACTTAAACAATGGACTGATTTGTTTCTTATTGCCTATCAGGTTATTTAAAGCCAGAAAATATTTTTAGATTGTAAGAATTTTTTTGGTGGGGCGGATAATAATGATTTACTGATACAAGTCCTACTAATTAACTCATGAAGGGTGGGGAGAAAAGGTGAAATCATATCTTTCCCAAGGGTATTTGTGTGTAATTGAATATAATGAACCCAACTGAATTTGAAACCCACCTCTCTAATCTCTAATTCCAAGCTGTTATCCATTTACACCACCTGCACATCCAAGCTTACAGCACCTGGTATTTCCAAGCAGTCACCCATCTAGGTACTGACCATGCTCAACATTGTTTAACTTCAGTAATTTGTATGAGAACTAATGTTTCAACATGATATGATTGTAAGCTCTTAAACAATAGAAGATTTAAATTAATGTCTTTTTATTTTTCTATATAAGAAATCAGTAATTTGCCTGTGTAGATTGTTAATCCTCTTAAAATATTAATCCTTTGATAAAATATCTATTGATGATTTTAGGCAAAAATATTCCTGAAGATTGAATTTCTTATAATATGTATCCATTTAGAATTGACCATTGCTATAAATGAAAGCATGAAAACATGCAAAGATAATGTTACTTATTTGCATATGCAATGTCTTAAAGAGATGAAAACTAATGATTTCTGAAAGTTTCTTATCAATCTATCTGTATTACTTTTTGATTTTAAAGCATTAATATCAGAATAAAAATATGGGTAGCCTATCAGTTGTCAATGTGGAGAGGGGAATTGGCTAGCTGAGTTCAAATTCCTGCCTAGTCTGTTGTGTTTTGTGAATTAATGTTTTATAATAATCACTTTTCCTATGAAGTAATTTTCCTATTTTTATGATTTAAAATAAGTAATAAGAACTTTATGCATACAAAGGTTCTCTATTGATAATATCAAAATATTTACATTGAGCATCTTAAAATATATGTTTTTTGGTTTTTGATCCTAAACAATGTTGGACTCCACAAGATGCAGCACAGCAACTGTAAATGCTTTAATAGATTGACAAAATTTAAGTGTACTGAAGCCTTTTCAATTGAAAGGGCGCATCTTTTGGTCTGAGTAGAATTCTAAGAATAATTGCATTTGCTCCTTTGGGAGAATAGTAGCCTTGATGGTGTGGTATAAACTTTAACAAACACTCTTATGCTTTTCTATAACTGTGGATGATTCAAATTATACAGTAGCATTATTGTAGGAACTTTCTTTCAGTTCCAGTCTGTGTGGTGGTATATTTAAAAGTTGCTTCTAACTGACCCATATCTGTGTCTATTGATTGATTTATACTTATGTTTATTTACTGAAATTTCATGCAGCACTTGTAAGTTGATGTTATTGACTGTAACACTTTGAGTGCAAATATTGCACAGCCAATTGTCATAGTGAGGATAAACTTTTGCTAACAATTCATTTACTCTTTGGTCCACTGTGCTTAGAGGAGCTAAACTGAACATGTAAACAAAAAATGCTGTTGGAAGAATATAGCAAAATCCATCAATTTTTATTTTTTTAGACAGCAATTTAAATGTCTTTGCAGTTTCAATTTTGGTTTTGCATGCAAGTCTGAAAAAGAAATACAAAAATTTGCATACTTTTAGAATTCAACCCACCCTGTAAATATTGTCTCTCAACATACAATCTACCATAACCTGTCCCCTGTATACTCTGCCATAATATATAACATATATAATAATAATAATGTCATGCAAATGGTGAGACTTTGAGATCTGATATTTACAGAGTGGGTTTTGAGTGTGTTGAATGCTAAACAGTTAAAAAATAGGTTTAAAATAATTAATATGAACCCTTTTTTTTTTTTTTTTTTTTTTTTTAACATAAATCAAAAATGCATTTTAAGAAATAAAAGTAAAACATTGCTAAACAAAGTAGAATTTTTAGATTACATTAGTTTTAAATTTTCAGATAGCCTATTGGCTTCAGAAGAAACATGACTGTTTATATTTCCTGTTTTTTAATAACAAAAATAGAGACAAACTTTTCTGAGAACTATAAAAGATAAGAAGTTGTGAAGAGCCATAATCATCAACATCCAGAATGAACATGGCATATAAAACAAGTCATCCACTCATTTGTTAGCCTACAATGAAAGAAAGCAGAAATCAACATTTCCTTTGTCCTGTATTAAATTTAATTTTGGTTTTGGCTTTGAAGGCAGTAAATCTAAAATTTAGATGCACAGCAGCAGTTTACTGATTTAAAAAAAAAAAAAAAAAACTATATGTGGACAAATTTTAAACTGATTAGGTGAAGATGTTTGAAAAGAGATAATGAACATACACATTCTCTAATAAATGTGTGTGTGTGTGTGTAGTTGGTTCATAAACATTTTTAAGATGATAGAAGAAAAATTTTGTTCACCATTCACTAATTTTCCCACTGCATAAGAAAAATATATTTGAGGTTTCTTAATTAGTTATTATTATTCTATATACTTTATTTACTAGCACAGGAAGTGAACTCTCAACCACCAGCTAATAGAAATTGATACTTTGTTGTTGTATTGGCCTATTTCACTTGTTCTTTGTAATGGGTCCTGCCACAGAGCTCAGCATAAGCTGAGGATATTTTCTTCCAGAGGGTGAACATTCATTTGTCTAGTGAATCCCTGACAGACCACTTCAACAATTATTAAACAAGATTTTTATTTATTTATAAGATTAACCAGCTTAATTTTTCTGACTGCTTTTATTTTTTGTTTTCTTCAGTAATCTTTGTAATTTTTTTTTTTTTGTTATATTTTTACAGCTGCTTGGAAGATCATCAAAACATGGCTGAGTCCGGAGGCTGTACAGAAAATAAAATTTGTTGACAAATTGACTATCCAGGAGTTTATAAGTCGAGATCAGCTGATGGAGCAAATGGGAGGAACTGTGAGTTTTACGAAGTTTACTCTGTGATCTTTCATTTTTGATGACATATTTGTGTGGACATAAAATTTTATTCTAGCCAGAAATGTTAGGGGTTTTAATTTTTAGAAATACTTTCTTTAATGTCATCAGTCTATTGATGTTAAAATTAATTGGGTATGTATTATGATAATTTTGCATTTTTTAAGCTGTTAGCTTTTTGGGTTCATTTGTGTCATCAATGGAAAAGCATTTATTGACTTTGTGAAATGTAGTATGATTTTTTTCTTAATAAGTAGAAAGCTCTATTTTTTATTTATTTATTTTTGGCTGAAGGCCAAGGCATTAACATCTTTCTCAAACAAAATATAAATTTTCATTTGTTCACTAAGAAATTCTGATTCCAGTTAATACTAATAATTAAAAATATAATCTCAAAAGAAAACTCCAAACTCTAGTTTGAAAGTCAAAGTTGTGATATAGGTTGATCATTGATATTGCAGAACAATTTCTCTAAAAAATATAAAAATCTGAAATTAAGCCAAAATTCCTTACTCTTTTCAAACAAAATTAAAAAAAAAAAAAAATCTTTTTTTTTTAATCATGTCACCCCAAGTAAGGCAATAAAACCACTAAGCTCAAAGGAGTTATGTGAGAACAATAAAAGAGCAGAAATTAAGAAGTCTGAAGAAAACAATTGACATTGCATTTAAATTTTTGAAAATTGACTGGAAAGCAAGAAGCAGATTTTCAATTTTCCAAAATCTTTTCATCATAATTTAAGGAACTGAATACTCTTTCTACAGAAATGATGAAAAATGAGTCTTATTTATGTAATTGTTTATTTAATTTACTCTTTGTTCCTCTATCCCACATTTTAATTTTACACCTTCCATCAAACTCACATTCTGTTATATTAAGAAGAAAAAAATTGTTTTTGCTATTAAAACTTACTTATCTGTCATTTAGCTATTCTATGTTTTTAAGTAAGAAAAAATCTTTCTCAATCTTAGGAAGGCTGCTTACTTGTTTTAAGAATTAATATTTAAAAAAAAAAGTCATTTAATAGTAGGATCGAATAAATACATGTTTTAGCCTATGGTGAAAATACAGAAAAAAAATGACCGCTGGGAAATATTTGCTAGCACATTATTAGTTACTGATAAACTTTTTCTTATTATACACCTTTCTCTCTCTCTCTCTCTAGTTATCTTTAATTTTTCATCATACATGGCTGGTCTGTTTGCTTGTAACACCCCCTTGCAACAGGGTCATATCCTTGGTTGCTGGCACCAAATAATGTAACACCTTTTGCTGCTGTCTACACTTGGTGGTGTAACCACATTTAGTGGTTCAGTCCTCAGGCTCTTAGGATGATGCTTTAACCATGGATTAACATTGTACTGGTCAATGCTAATGCTGGTCCAAGCTGGTTGTTGATTGCTGGCTGCTTCAATCCACACTGTCTCTGCCCACATAGCATTCTTGATCTTAGAACAGTAGAAGATTGAATGTCGTTGTAGTCTCACAGTGGGCGCTATATTAAAGAAAAAAAAAATATCTTCACAACAAAAAAAAATAAAACAAGATTCATGGGGTTAATCTTCAATTGGTTTATATAGCTCTTGGTACAATAAAAATTAACCTTGTAATCTCTATTAATCTCTATAGTGACACTGGGCCTTGTCTATACTTCTGGAAGGCTTGGTACAAAGTCTTGGAATCAGGATTTATGATTGGCAACAGGTATGGATTCCAGAAGCACTTGATGCAGCTTCTCAGCCCAAGTCTTTAAGTTCCTCAAAGGGTTCTGAGAGTCTGTTGATTCTTTAATTTTCATTAATTCAATTTTCTTTGTTTCCTACTTTTTCTTTCTTAACCAACTTTCCAAATTTGGAAAATTATCCACCTTGCCTGGGAGTAGTCACAGGGATTGCTTTTCCCTTAACTCCAATCTGCTTCACTTCACATCTCTCACCACTACTCTGCACAAGTAGGGATAAACTTCTTGGTATTCTAACTGTGCTCACTTCTTAGGGCGCATAACAGTCTTTGTGACAAATCTAATTTTTAAAATGCATACGAGAAAGTTTGGTTTATTCCCATCATTATTTTCAATTCTCTGACTCCTTTCAAACAAACCAGATCGCCTTCTTGGCATGAGATGATTGGTCTAAATAACTTCAACCATAAGAAAAAGGGATTCTTCTGTTTTAATTTTTGGCAACAAAAAATGTTTCCTTAATTTATCAAGAAAGCGATAAAGCCATTTCTTCGAATCTGTTTTCATCTACATGCCATACTCTCGATAGATAAGAAAAATAAACTTGTCGGATGTTACATTCTCACCAAGGAAAATGTCTTCTCTTTGTCTCTATCTTCCAGCCTATATTTCATTTTGGCTTAACACTTTTCATTTCCTGTTTAGAATTAATGTTGATTAACCACTTCAGTGTCATAGCTTGCTAGAAAGCTTTTTTCCTCCATTATTTAGTTAGCATGTGCCCTACCATTACTTCAGATAAATAATGGACCGTTTTATTTTGATTGTAAGGAAAAACGGAAGGCAAATATAAAAGTGAATGAAAGAAAGCATACATAATGAGAAAAACATGAAGGGAAGTGAGAGATGATAATGCTCATATGTGTTTAATGTCTGCTTCAGTGAAATAGAAAACTGTCAATTTTGATTCTTTTTCATTTGTACCTGTTACTTTAATGACATACATTCATACTTATGATTGTTATTTCAAAATTTTCTTAGTTGTTAAGCTCAAATATTTTTTTGATGCAATAAGGGAATTCCCCTAGGTATTTTGAGTTGTGAAACCTGCAAGGAACTTATTCAATCATTAAATTAATAACTAAGAGTAGGCAGGAAAACTGAATTTTTTGTAGCTAGTAAAAATCTATTGCCTTCATGTGCTAGGCAATTTGTGTTTTTCCCTTTGCATGTTACTGAGAACAACACTTTGAGTACAATCATAAAGATCTCTAGGCCTATGATCTAATCACTAAGCTATTCACTAGTATAAATTGATAAATAGGTGGTGACAACTCACTAAGGTAAATAAAGATAAGTAATGAAAAATTACTCTGATTACAAAATAAGGACTAAAGTCACAAATGAAGGAATTGAAGATAAGAAGCTATACTTTGTTTTTTTATATGTATATTATTAAAATTACATTGTGAGATGTTAATACCTACATAAGCTTTTAAACCTTTCTGGGTTAATCCAGCTATACTACAATTAAACCTGCCAAATAATGGAATAATCTCAGTATTATTTAACAAAATGATTACAACTGATCTCAAAAGTGAAAGAATGCTGACTGAAATATATTGTGTAAGATAAACTAAAGAAGTCACAAGAACAACACACATAGCAGTTGTTGTATAGATTAAAAGTGAGGGGGGAACTGAAATGTACTATTTGTGCTTTTTGAATGTCTAGTATTTGAGCATTAGCAAAATGTGTAGTTTAATTATCAAAACTTGATTGGTGAGTATCTTTAATTATTGGCAGAAATATCCTTATTTAATTTGCTTCTCTATTATGCATTTTGGGTGGTAACATGGAGTGATGTGTCTGTGAGATTTTTTTCTTCTTTTTTTTTCTTTCCACACATTTATTTCTTTTCTAGACAAAAACAACATTTTTGGTAATTTTTAACCTTAAGTGCCTGCAAAAGAAAATAGTGTCAAAAGGCTGGTTTTTCCCTTGACACCATTATTATTTTAACTACCTTCACTCCTTGGCAATATTCATTGTTCTAAAAAGTGATGATTTAGTATTGTAATAAATCCTGAATAAAGCTGAATTTATACAGATTTTTTTTCTTGAATTTACAACAAAAATAATAAACACTATTAGTGTTTATTTACAAGAATAAAATTATATTTACATTCTAAAAACTAATTCCATGCAATATTTATCATTTACCAATATGTGAAGAAATAAATATGAAAACAATTTTTTATTCATAAATTTATAAACATTTACTAAATTAAAACATATGAACCGACTGTAAGGAAATCCTTATCTACCATTTTATAAATTTTGAATTGATTGTCAATTAGTCGATGTTTTCTCAAACATTCCAGTAAACAATCTAATAAATAAATGGTGTTAATTATTTTTGTTGTCAATTCTCAAGAACAAAAAATGTATAAATTCATTTTCATATGTTTAGGCTTTATTAAAATTCTAATCATATAGCTTTTTAAAACAAACATTGATGTGGTTTGAAGGTATTTAATATAATAGTGAAAAACTGTTCTTTTGACACAGTTTTTTTTTTTTTTTTTTTTGCAGGCATGAAGGTTAAAGATTGCCAAGCCACAAATCCTGCTATGGTTTAAACTAGGATAAGGAACATTTTAATGTAGTTTTTAAAAATATATGGTTAATATTAGTTTTGCTTTATAACACCACCTATTTATCACATTAGAGCATAGCTTTGTGATTAGCACACAAGCCTAGGCATTTTGTAAATTGTACTCAAGTCTTGTACTCTACTTTGGATGGCCGGGGGGGGTGGGTGGAGAAGGAATTTATATCAACAAGGTTTCTCTAGAAACAATTTTAATTTAATACTAACAAAAATTAGCCTATCTAAGGTAATGGTGCTTTAATCCTCTCAAATTACTTGTGAACTCTCACACTTTTCTCAGCATCCCTTTTGCTTTTTAGAAGTCTCTACAAAGTCGTCATTTATGATGGTCATCAGCTATCTCTTTGTATTCTCCTTAATCTCTTCCATGGTCTGAAAATTCCCTTTCAATGGTGATAGGTTGAAAGATCATAAGAACCTGAATGAAACTTTACTGATCAACTTACTGTGTCATTGGGAATACAGTACTCATACAGTATTCAAGCTAACTCGATGCTGACTGAGTAAACCCTAGTGGAGAGTGTTCATACATGTACAGTAAGGTCCCCTCTAATTGGTTGCCAAGCTTTGTATGCATTGGTAAAATATTTGACTTAAGATTGTGAGATATAGTTAAATGCTTAGGGTTTAGCCTTTCAGTATTTTTTTAATGTTTCATAACCTTTATTTGGATATAGTTTATAGTTTAATATATATACATGATTATTTGTTTCATAAATTAAAAAAATGTTTTGGAATACTTGTTAATATTTAGATGCTTTCCTTATATCAGATCATCTTGTAACAAAAATAAAATTTTGCCTCAGTGTGGGGTAATGGATAATGAACTTGTCTAATTGATCTATTCTATAGTGAGTTTGATCCTCACTGGGTGCCCCGTACTTGTAACCTTGTGCCAAAATTGAGCTAAACTTAAAGAATAACAAAGATGAAATAAGGAAAACAAAATATAGTAAAAACGTCGCAACAAGACCTACTTAAATATGTTATTTTCAAATCAAATATATAAATAAATAGATAAATAAAAAAAAAAGAACTTTGTTCCTCAATGTTTTATATACTGTCATTTTAGATTTAATATAAATCATTTTGTCTATGCTTGAAATTGTAGCATTTTTAAATCTGGTGCAAAAAAGCTGTTAATGCAGTTTAATGTAGTTTAGTACAATAAAATCAGTACAAAAATAACAAAACAGATTTAAGTGATACAATAAGCAATATGTTGTTCTAATTTAAACTTTTTTTTCACTTTTACCACAACTTCCGGTGCAACTGAATTATTCAACAATTTTAACAGCTTTCATTGGCCACAAAGATAAACGCACTACACACCTTCGTAGCTAAGTTTCAGTGTGAGGTCTCTTTATGAGCTCAGTCCACAACAAGTTTGTTGAACAAGTTACATAAGCTCAATGAGAACAAACTCTCTCTTTCTCTCTCCCTTTTATATATATATATATATATATATATATATGTATGTATGTAATTAAATTTAAAAAAAGAAAATATGATACTAGCTTATGTTATTGAAAAACTAGCAATGATCTATGAGTGCAATGCAGCATTTAGAGTTGTTTATATTCTGCACTTTGCTCTGACTTGCATATTTCTTTCTTTTCTATCTTTTTTGCTTGTGACCCATTTTATTTATCTTATTAACCCTGGTATAGATAAACCAACAATATGATTAATGATGTAAGATCTTCATTTGTTCATGGAGTTAGATAAGCTGTTTGAATAGAATCATAATGACAGAGCAACATGCTTAAATTTTACGCAGCTAGGAATGATTTGGACAATAGTTTAGAAAATCAAGTCTCTTTATACAAAGTTTAGTGAATTGCAGTGATACAGAAATGCCAGTTTTATGAATTTCAATGGATAGCATAAAGCATTATTTTTATCTACACCGATCATATATTAATGTAAAAATGTTCTCATCTAGAATCACATAGTCCAACACTGAATTTCATTTAATTATTTACATTTGGACTTTTGTTATAACAATGTCTGATGAAGGCCATGATTGCAAAATGTCATATTTTAAATACATTGATAATAAACTTTTTTTTGCAGGAAAAGTTCCAGTATTCATACAGTCCTCCTAGCACAATGTATAGTGAAGTAGAAAACAACAGTTCCTCCAAGTTGTCACCAGATGGTGTTGCTAGCACAAAGAAGGTATTTCTTATTAGAAACATCTCTATGGATTGATTTGTTTTTTTACTGCTTATCAATCTTTTGCAGGTTTAAAGCCTGAAAATATTTTTAGATTGTAAGAGATTTTTGGCAGTAATAATTAATTACTGATACAAGTCTTACTAATTAACCCATAGATGGATTAGAGGAGGTGGATTCATACCATTCCCAATGGTATTTGTGCATAAGTGAATATAATGAACCCAACTGGAAATGGAACTTAGCTTTCTGATTCTCAGCCTTTATCCATTAAATCATCTACATATCCAAGCTTACAGCACCTGGTATTCCCTTGTGGTCACCCATCTAGGTACTGACCAGGCTTGACATTGCTTAACTTCATTGATTGTATGGGAACTAGTATTTACAGATGAAATTTAGGATTTCAGTTATATTCCAGTTATTGATCAATATACAAATTACTATTCAAGAACATGGTTTTGTTTTAGAGACATCGAACTTTTCTCCTTAGCCATTCACAAATAAAAAGGGAGCTTTTGTTTATAATCAATTTTAAATTATTCTTTTTGATTTTCCAAACAACAATATAGAAATACTTAAATAGCTGTGTTGTTTTTGCTAAAAAAAAAAAATTATTCTTCAGTTTTTGGCAAATTCTTTATGTAGTGTATTTAATTTACAATTGTATTCATTTCAACAATTGCTATTGTGCAGTTAAGATTTAGGTAAAGAATACTATACAAAATATTGAAAGTTTTTTTTTTTTTTTTTTTTCAAGAAAACATTTAAATTGAATAAATTTGACTAACTTTATGTTGATTTTTGCAGTAAAGTTATTTATTTAAAAAAGATTTTTATTGAAAATATTCCATCACTTTTATCTTATGAGGATTGGTTTTGGTTGCTACAAGCAAACTGGATCTAATAATATATATTAATTGGCCAAAAGTCATAGGATAGGTGTTTAGTATTTTGCTAACCTGGCAAAGTGCAGCATCTTGGCATGGTATCAATTATACAAGTGGTTGGGTGACCTGGATAGATGTTGAGCCATACTGCTTCAATAAATGTCTTTGATATTCGTAAGTGCAAACCATTGCATGCAAATAAACCTCTCCACCACATCCTATAAATATGCTCAGTTGGACTCCTGTTGAGCAAATGTCTCCATATGATAACAATTCTGGGAAACAGGCCAAATGACATTATTTTGCTTGAATAACACATTTTTGTTGAGATATGTGAAGTCAATGGATGGTTATAATGATGGTTACTTAAGAGGCAGTGCAACATGGTGGTCACCAGTTAGTGCATTTAGATAGACTAGTACCACATAAATACATGGCACAGTATGATGGAACCACTATCAGCCTAGAGTGTGCATTATTGACAACTAGAGTCCATGACCTCACAGAATTTGCATCACACCTGAATCCTACCATCCACCAGAAACCATTGGAACAATGATCCATTAGACCAAGCCACATGTTTCCAATCTTCCAGAGTTCAATTAGTAATGTTATGAACCCAGGTGAGGTGGTATGTCTGGTATCATAGCATCAAAAAGTAGCAAAGTATCAAAAATTAAATTTAAACTATACTTACCAAAAAATGATGCACAATCTTTGTTTTTGATTAAGACATACTTCCTTTGGGATGCATTAGTGTGTTTCTGCCATTTTTTTTCTTTCAGTAATTCTAACAATTTACTATTGTGGCCCATTGTTAATTTTCTGCAAGCAATGTGGCCCTTCATATTTTTTTTTAATCATGGAGACCCAATCTACCATTATCTGTTACATACTAATATCCTATTACATTTGATGTGTAAGTGTATTAAGAATATTTGACATATATGCCAGATGTGATTTGGGAATAAATGAGGCTGAAGGATGAGGAAATTAAAGACTGCAATCCTATAATTGTGATACTGACACATGTTCATTTTGATGTTTTAATTAAACATAGATGATTGTATTACATTAGGACTAATTTTACAGGAAATATTTGAAATAGTCCTACAAAAAAATTTGAATTTATGTTTGTTAAAAATTGTAAAATAGTGGAATATGTTAGATATTCTCTATGATGGCATAAATTAGGAAGTCAATGTATGTCTCATAAAAATAAAGAATTATATGATTTTCTTCATATACTAAATCATATTTATCTGATTAAAAATTGAATTCCAATGTAATGGATATTATGATAAATCCAAAACAGTTTTTTTTTTTTGTTTTCTTTAGCTAGTCTCAGATTTCTTTTGTCAAGTATTCATATAAACAGAATGCTCAAACCTTATATAAAATATATTAAGTAAGGTTTAAAAATGTATTGGCAGTTTTTCCTTTTACCAACATCTATATAAAAAGCACACAGTAATTGTTTCCAAACATTTTTGTATTTATAAGCAATCACCAAAACTTGGATCATAAATTGATATTTTAGAAAATAATATATAGGAATCATAAAATATTATTTACTGTTTACAATTCTCTCTCTCACACACACATACACAAAGGGTGGTGAAATGTTCTTAGCCCAACTAAGATCATATTAAAATATATTTTGTCAGATTTGGGGTTTGGCGTTAAACTTTTCCCCTTATTTTTTCTATGTATTGAACTAGGTTTGTTTACATAAACAAACCTAGTCCAGTGAGGTCCTAAAGGACAAAATACATCACATAAAAATTTTCCCACATTGTTTTACGTCTTTCCTCCTCTCTCTCAGTCTCTTTCTTTCTATATATATATATATAAGGTTATGGTTGTTCCAACGAGAGAAAAATGAATATTTTAAAAGGACAGAAACCGTATTTGGTTATAATGTGAATTTGTTTTAGTGTATATATTCTTCATATTTTTGCTACATGTGTTTCCGGTCTTGTGACCTTCTTCAGGCAAATAAAATGAATCATTTTTTTAAAGGAATAAATTTTACTTGTGTTCTTTTAATGTTTCAGTGTTCATTTTCTGTATTTGTAGTGAGCCTTGTTCTCATTTCTGAACTGTTGGCAAAATGAATTTCTGCTTAAGTGGTAATAAAACTATTAGGTTTTGTCTGAGTGGTGGTGATATATATGTTGAGAGATGTTTTCCTATCACTACATTACTCTTGAGATTGTCAAATCTATTTCCATTTTTGAGTATTGTGTGTGTGTGTGTCACTGTTAACTTGCACATGTATATGTATATTCCCTCCCCATATATTGCAAGTTAACAGTGACACACACGCGCACACACAATACACAAAAATGGAAATAGATTTGACAATCTCAAGAGTAATATATATATATATATACACACACGCTCTCACACACATTCTCCTTGTGTGCCTGTGAGTAGTCTATTTGTTTTTGCCTGTGTATTTATTGTATATTTCTTGAATTTATAAGAAAGAGTAGTTGTCTGTTTGGTATATTGGCATAATTTAAAATTTTTTCTTGATTGCATTTGTACATGTGTTGTGATACAAGAGTTTTCTACTGTTCGGAAATTTGATGTTGCTTTTGTGGAGAGCAGCTCTGTTAAGTGTTTGGCTGATACCAATATATGACTTATTGCATTTTGTGCATTTGTTGCATACATCACATTTTGGGAGTTGCAGTTTAAATTTTTATTTATTGTGAATGTAGTTGTGGGATTTTCAAAAGTGTAGGAGTTCCCTTCTATAATGACATTACAAATGCCACATCTTTTTCTTTGCATTTTGTGAACCCCTTTATATTGTGTTGGTTACATTTGGATGAGGTTAATGTGTTTCAGGTTTTTAGATTGGCATTTGCTTTTAATTATTTTGGTTGTTTTTAGTATATTTTTTATTTTGTCATTCTTGTTAAGTAGGTCTAGATTTCTTGTAATTTCTGTAAATAGTTCTGGATTGTTTTTATTGCATGTTGAGATATATGCTAGGGTTTGTTTGACGTTATGTTTTTTTATTTCGTAGTTGGTCTAGAGGTGTTTTTTCTGCTAGTTCAAAAACCTCTTATTAGTGTTGTGGGGTAGACTCGTTTTTTTTTTCTTTTTTTTTTCTATAGATTTTAAAGAGTTCTATATAGTTCTTCTAGGCTGTTTTTTCTGAGGTGTTTGCCAGTCACTATAGTGCAAACCTACATGCAAGGGAAATAGGGGATGGATTTCAGCCAGTTTTTTGGGTGATGGCTCTTGAAGCAAAGATATTGTTGGGTGTCTGTAGGTTTCTGGTAGATATCTGTGATTATGTGGTTGTTTCTATTTCTAATGAGTATATCTAAAAGTGGTAATTTATTAAAATTATATTCTTGGGTGAATTTGATTTTTGAGTGTAAGTTCTGAAGTAGTGTGGAATTTGTTAATATTGCCCCATGAGGATTTCCAGAAAATGAAGCAATCATCTAAGTATCATTTCCATTATTTAGGGAAGTAGGTTTTTATATTTTCCCCATATATTTGTTCTATCTGTTCATATAGGTTTTTCTCTAGGTAAATTAATTTTAGGGTGGCATATGTAGGTGCCATTTTTATTCCCATTGCAGTACCTAAGGTTTGGATATAGTTTTTGTTATCAAATTCAAAAGTGTTATTGTTTAGAATCAGGTCTTGACTATCGATAATGAATTCTCCAGTAAATCTGAGATGTAGTGTTTCTGGATGATTTTCAATCCAGAATGAGATTGCCTGTTTACCTAATTCATGGGGTATGTTGCTATATAGGCTACTGGTGGCAAAAGTAGCCATAAGTGTTCCTGGATCAGCTTTTTTGGGTATGGAGCTAAGGAAGTGAATATCGTCTCTGATGTAGCTTTTAATATGCTCTTAAATGATTGTAGTACTGTGTCTATTAAGTTACTGAGTCTGCTAATTGGACAGGCTGGTCTTGCTACTATGGGTCTGAATGTAAAGTCACTGGGGTTTGGGATGTTAATGTATTCAGATTTTTGTCTGGATAGCTGCTTTTATTTTATTCAATTTGTGATTTTTTTTGTTGTACGTAAAAATTACTTGTTTTTGGTGCAAAGTTTTTTAGGAAATCCTTTTCTG